CTCTCCTTAACACTGGGCATGCCCGTGCAAAGAAAGCTTCCCGCCAAAATCTTTTCAATCGGTTGGGGGTATGGCCAACCCTGAAAGAGGGTGGGATAGGCCATAGGCCCACTGGATAGAAGATGTTCAGTATTTTGCTTGCTTTTGTGCAATTATCTCATTGGGTGGAGTATATGGAGGGCGTCAGGATCACTGCCGACAGAAGTCCAGTTTATTGCAGAAAAATGTGGCCGTTACTTCGTTCACTGTTGTGGCAACCACCACCATCAGATCATTTGTGATCTGACGGCTGGGAACCACTCTGCCGTGATTTCCGGTGGGAGGTCTCTGTTTTTTTGTTTTCTTTTTTTGCCTCTCTCCTGTTTCCTCGGCCCAGAAAATCGTAATGAACCTGTCAGGCCGCTGCCACTCAGTGTCGCACTGGATCGGCCACACTCCTATCCGACTGCTAATGGGACCATGCTCCTGGATACAGAAATTCAATCTGGAGAACGTCTGAGAATGTGCCCTCCGGGGGAGTGTTATAGCGTGAAAAGAAAAGAAAAAAAATCACGGAGGGAGCGATCAGACGCTATCTGATTGGGTGGAGCCCTCCTTCAATCACGGAGGTAGCGATCAGACGATATCTCATTGGGTGGAGCCCTCCTTCAACCACGGAGGGAGCAATCAGACGCTATCTCATTGGGTGGAGCCCTCCTTCAATCACGGAGGGAGCGATCAGAGGCTATCTGATTGGGTGGAGCCCTCCTTCAATCACGGAGGGAGCGATCAGACGCTATCTCATTGGGTGGAGCCCTCCTTCAACCACGGAGGGAGNAGGCTATCTGATTGGGTGGAGCCCTCCTTCAATCACGGAGGGAGCGATCAGACGCTATCTCATTGGGTGGAGCCCTCCTTCAACCACGGAGGGAGTGATCAGACGCTATCTCATTTGGTGGAGCCCTCCTTCAATCACGGAGTACTATATGGAGGGTGTCAGGATCACTGCTGACAGAAGTCAAGTTTACTTTGTTCAGCCCAGAGAAATGTGGCGGTTACTTTGATGCAACCACCATCAGTCAAGAATCTTGACGTTTAAAAAACAAAAAAAATAAATTAAAGAATGGGCCTGAACTGAATGGCACTTAGGGGCAGATCCCACCTCTATTCTTTCTGGAAAACAAGAACGGTTTTGTGTCCTTCGGGACATCCGTTAAAATTGGAACGATACAGAGAAGATTAGCATGGCCCCTGCGCTTTCAAGGATGACACACATGAATCGAGAAAAGTGGTCCAAATTTTTTATTAAAAAAAAAGAAAAAAAAAGAACGGTTTTCTAGGGCCCGTTCCGCCCGGACCGTAAAAGAAAAATGAGATCCCACAAGGCCACGAAATTCGGATCTTTTCCTGTAGGTGCGCCTGAAATTTGTGGGCCGTGAGGAACACCTGCTTCCCGAAGTCGGTCCACCCGGACATTTGGTCGGCCCCCGTCTGCCTGTGTGGTGGGACATCGGCAGGCCGCATGGCACTGCGGTCGGATAGAACCCGTCGCACAACGTTTGGACCAACCGGACGTTCCAACTGTCTCTTGCGGACATCTACCACAAAAAGAAAAAAAAAGGAAAACCCCACCTTCTTTTTCGAGGAAAAGACGGGGTCTTCTTCTTCTTTTTCTTCTTCTTTTACTTTTGGACGGGGTCGTCTTCTTTGGCTTTTGGAAAGAACTTTCTTGCCTGCAAACGCGCACAGCTTAACACCCCTTTCGTTTCCACATCCACGAAAAAAGAGGGCCCCTTCCGCCTCACGCGGAAAGAAGTGGGATCCCAAAAAATCACGGAAAGTGCCTTCCGTACTAGAGGTGGGATCTGCCCCTTAGGGCCTCGCTGCACTACAGTAACTCTCCAAATGTGCAAAACGAGAGTGAATCTTCCGCTAGAATATGGAAAGATACAACGACATGATTTTTGTCTTTTGTGCATTTCAAGAGTAGTGGAGCGAGGCCCTTAATCTGAGACACTAGCCGGTCAAAGGGCCTCGCTGCAGGACTCTAGAAACCTCAGAAACCTCGAGAGTCACGCCTCGCTCCACATACTTTTAAGATGGGTACCCTCAAAAACACCCAATGGCATGCAGAGCTGTCAGTCAGAAAGCACTCTCAAAGGTGAGGGCACTTTCGAAGCGTCGAGAGTTCCCACCCTACAACGAGATGTCTTTTCTAGTGTCCGCCCTCGTAGGCCCCCCAACCCCCTCGGCCATTTTTTTTCAAGACTGCACTTCCTGTCATGGCAGTCAGAACATGTTGGCACCGTCTTCTAGTACACTGGAAGTGTACAAGTTTCAAGAGTGCACTTCCTGTCATGGCAGTCGGAACAGGTTGGCACCGTCTTCTAGTGCACTGGAAGTGTACAAGTTGTTTCAAGAGTGCACTTCCTGTCATGGGTGTCAGAACAGGCTGGTGCCGTCGTGTAGTGCACTGGAAGTCTGGAAGCACTCACGGGAATCCAGAGGGTATGCACACATCTAGAGTACCGGAAACACGTGCATCTTCCGGCAGAAAATGGCCAGGTTCATCCGTTTGCTTTAAATAGTGACGAGCGTATTTTGCCACCTTTCGTGAGCAGATGCACTCTGTTTCGTTTCCTTTTCGTATGCCGTGTGGAAAAGGCCGCAAGTGAAGCGAAGCCTTCCTTTCGAGAGTTAAATTTGCTCTTCTGAACACCTCTACCTTCTTCCCCTGGATACAACGTACGGTCATTATAGCTGTACCTAGACTGAAAGATGCCTCAAATACAGCTATAATGACCGTACGTTGTATTCGGGGGAAGAAGGTAGACTCTCTCGCCAAATTTTCTGAGTCTAGAGTGGTGCGCCGAGACCCGGGGCCGAGTCCCACTAGCAGCGTTGCGCTACCTCAACGCCTGAATGCGGACGCTTTTGCGGAGGTGTGCAGAAATGCTGTTGCGTTTCCTGAACTGCACGTCTTCACAAACACGTCCAGATTCAGGCGTTGAGGTAGGTCTACGCTGATAGTGGGACCTCCTAGCCCCCCGAAAGTTCTCGTTTATCTTCACCATCCACACCTCCACAACAAACACAAACTCAACAAGAAACACAAATCTCACAAGAGACAAAATCTCACAAGAAACAAAATCTCACAAGAAACACAAATCCACATGAAAAGCGCGTTTCTGTGCGTGTGTGGCGTAATCACTGTACTCATGTCAGCTATGCACAAATCCACAAAAGAAAGCACTACTGTGCCCAACCGTTCCGCCCGACATTCAGTGGTGACTCATCAGGAGGTTGAACCACGACAGTCTGCCACCCGGAAAAAAAAAAAGGAAAGTGATATCCACTTTACTCGCACGAACCAAGATAGCCACGCAAGTAAGATCCTCTTTTTTTTTCTTTTTTTTATTCCAAAAAAAATTCCTCTTTCATGGACCCGGGGCCAAGTCCCACTAGCAGCGTTGAGCTACCTCAACGCCTGAATCTGGACGCTTTTGCGGATGCGCAGAAATGGTGTTCAGTTTCCTGAACTCCACGTCTCCACAAACTCGTCCAGATTCAGGCTTTGAGGTAGCTCAACGCTGCTACCGTCTTCCCCCGAACATAACGCATATGTGTTGTATTCGAGTTTTCCCAAAAAACCGGTTTTCGGAAAGTTAGACCCGTTTCTTCGAATACATAGGCACTTCGAATATAACGCATATGCGTTCTATTCGAATAATACGCATGTGCGTTATATTTGAATTTCACGAAGAGAAAATTGTTGTATTCAAATATGTTAATATAAATTTTTTTCTTTTTTTCCCCCGAAGGTCAACGTCTGCTCCGTTCTTGCCCCGGTGAACGGGAGAGGCCCGTGGTCTCTCTCTCTCTCTCTCTCTCTCTCTCTCTCTCTGTGCCCCCTATACTCTTCTTCAGGCAAGAAACTGCCCTCCATGTCATTGACACGCGCCGCAGGGCTCTCTCCCTCTCTCTCTCTCTCTCTCTCCGTGCGCGAAGGCGTTTCTGACAGCCAAGAAAGTAGCGATGTACCTTTCCATGTTCTGGGTTGTCATTCCTCCGCGAAAATGGAAAAATAAGAAAGCCACTCACCAAGGTCTCGCTACACTACCGTGGTTCATTCACATTTTGCACATTTGCTGAGGAGCGGAGGAATGACAACCCAGAACATGGAAAGGTACATGGCTACTTTACTTTTACGTTTCCGGCTCTGAGGCCCCCAGCCGTGGTCCAGAACTGAGCCTACTCAGCCTGGACCCGACCCCCTTGTGCAGACAAAGTTGGTCTCGTTCACTCAAACATAACGCATATGTGTTGTAAACGAATACAACGCACGGTATGCGTTGCATTCGTTTACAACGCATATGCCTTATGTTCGGGGGAAGATGGTAGTGGGACATGGCCCCCGATGTCGAAAAGAAGGAAAGCACAAAATTGGCTGGCTCAGATTCATGATCCATTCGATTTATTTTTTTTATTTTTTTTTTAAATCCATTTGCTCTGAGTCGTTATACGGTCGTTCCCCAGGTGACAGGGAAGCAGCGCCTGCCTTCTCGTAAAAGCAAAACGTCACGCCCTGTTGATGAGGAGTGTTCTGTACTTTCCAGTAGTAGCCTAATAAGGGCCAGATCCCACTAGCCCCTATTGTTCAGTTTTGACCTTCGATTACGAAGATCAACGGTCAGAAATGAATAATAGGGGCTAGTGGGATCTGGCAAAAATAGTGGAAAAATAACGGCCCGGGGGGCGAAATGCCAGGCACCGATGAGGGTATGAAGATGAATGGTTTCAGGGGGGAAAAAAAGGGGTATGAGCGACCAATAAGGAACGACAACGAGGGTACAGGGTAGAGAGAAAAGCGAGGTGAACAGATGATATGAACAATTCAGAACAGCTCAGAAAAGAGTCAAAAAGCTCACGCACATGAAAAATCACATATTCACATATTAAACAAAGATCTCTTCACACGAACCGATCTCCGAAAGCAAGCACTCCAAATCCCGTCCGCACCACCCGCGAGCCCCCAGAAATCGTGTGGCAAAGAGCCTCTCTTCATGTTGTACTCCCCTCTTTTTTTATTTTCACACGTGGGAAAGGAATGCGAACGAGAAGTGGTAAACAAATGACCCCTGAATTTCCCTCTCTACCTACTGCTATCAACCCCCTTTCTGAGTCAAAACCCATCTTCTCTGTAAGACCATTCTCTCTCTCTCTCTCTCTCTCTCTCTCTCTCTCTCTCACACACACACACACACACACACATCTGTCTCTCTCTCTCGCACACGNTCTCTCTCTCTCGCACACGAACACTCGCACACACACACACACACACACACACACACACACACACACACACACACACACACCTTTCAACATCTATCAATCCAGGTCCGGAACGCTGTCCGTGTCTAATAGACCAGTAGTGAGCCCTAGTTGCTACCTTCCACACTCATCCTTATCCCGAAAGGCCAGCCACATATAGGAATGAAGGAGAGGGGTTTGAACCAATGAGACTTTGTAGTATGCTACTTCTCTAGACTGAGTGCTCCGTAGTATGCTACTTCTCTAGACTGAATGCTCCTGATAGTAAGGGGAAAGCTATCAATGCCGCCTGGGGTTGACTGCTAACTCGAAACCCGTGTGTTCTCTGTGACTTGTACTGTGGGACGCCGGTCCCTTTATCCCCAGTCGCCTGCAGGTGTCGCTCCCCACCTGTAGATGGAGCATGCTCCTCCTTGGAAAAGTAGGATATCCCTCCAATGCAAAGAGTCTGACGCCTCTTGTAACGTGACTTCCACTCCAATCTCTGTAGATGGAGAATTGGCCAGTCTTTTGAAGAAACGATGATGATAAGATCCAGCCGGGTCAGTCTTTTGAAGGAATGATAATAAGATCCAGCCAGCCGGTTTCTATTTTCGAATAGACCAGTTCATATTTCAAACCTTCGGATTTTTATTATTATTTTTTTTTTCCTTCGGATATTTCAAACCTTTGCATACCTCTCCTATCTCTCTTTCTTTTTTCTTTCTTTTTTTTTTTTTTTGAAGAAAGTTAAACGTCCTTTACTTCTCAATCAATCTCTCGCAAGTGCTCTTAGCACGGGCGTTAGTCACGGGAATGCGCGTGCCGCCCAAGACGGGCCCCCGCCTGCACCCTCGGGATTGTCGAGGGCACTACCAGAAGGGCGTGAGGGAAGCAGGCCTACGCACGGGCTCAGCGAAGAAGAAAGCACCAAACCAAAGGTAGGTAGCTTTCACTAATCAGAACACAAGAAAGCCAAAAAAAACAAAAAATAACGGTGAACAAACGAAAGGACGGAACTCCTAAAAACGGAAGTAACGAGCTGATGAAAGAGGCAGCAATGGCCCAACGACAGGACGGAACTCCTAAAAAGATAACGGTGAAAAACGGAAGGAACGAGCTGATGAAAGAGGCAGCAGTGGCCCACAGACTTCGCTTACGCACACGACTGATTGAGAGAAAGTTACGGCGAGATCCCACTGGCAAAGAGGATTGGAATAAGTGTGTGAATCTGGACACGGTGATCCACACAGAATAGTGAAAACAGTGGCCATAGACTGCTTCTCGTACACGCATCAACATATTTACATTCCTTCTCCGCATGTACAGCTCTCAGAAAACGCGCAATTTCCCCGACGGGTTTCGGCTAATCAGGCTGCGCTCCTGGCACTCGCTCCTCAGGGGGCTTCTCCTCAGATCCGCCTTGCGGCACCACCAGACTTTCCACACACATGCAGAAAAGCGGATCAATCACACGTGTTCCAAACAGAGATGCAGAAAAGCGGATCACCTCTCCAGACACTTATTCCACTTCCTTCTATTCGAACTCAAAACGCACGCCGCCGACCGGTCGCTCTAAAAGATAAAAGGTGGGACAAACGGAATGAACGAGCTCGTGAAAGATAACGGTGGGCATTTCATTGTGCGCAAAATACGGTGAAAAAAATGCGATGCAACAAGCTGCTGAAAGACGCTGGCAATAGCCATCAGACGGATGCAAGGAGCTGCTAAAAAAAGCAGCCATAGCCAACAGACTTCGCTTACAAACACGACTGATTAAGAGACAGCAACTCAGCACGCCGTCGCGCGTATCCTTGACGCACGTTTCGACCGGTCGCACTAAAAGATAACGGTCGGGGACAACCTACCGGTCATCAAGACGAACCGTTAACCAACTGGCCTAGCTCAGCCCGTGCACCCATGAGCTGTTGAAATACAGACCCGCGCTCGAGCTCCAGTGGAAGCAAATGAGCACAACTTTGCGATTCTGAATCACCTAGCGCCGGTCCGTTCACATGATGATATATCACAAGGCTGTCGCCGTTTTTTTTCTAAAAAAGGGAGGAAAGAAAAAGAAAGAAAAGACGTTTTTTACGTGGCCCACGGCAGACGGGATGAACAACATCTTGACAGATCAACCTAAGGTTGGAAAAAGCCATTCATTCTTCACAGATGAGGGGTGGATAAATCCATTCCTCCTGACGGCATGCTTAACACTACCGTAATGAATTTTCCTGCATGTATATGACCGCTTTTCCGACCCGGTCTGGATGCACCTGACCGCATTTGCGTCCAGAGAAAAAAAAAGAACAAAAGAAAAAGAGTATGCCCTTAGAGATCACGATGCAAACAGCATATTATGCGCATGGTCAGCGAATTGCTAATTGCAGTCCTGTCCCTAGGTTCCGTGAATGCACCTGACCTCATTTCCGTCCACAGGTTACGTGCCGCACGGTAGACCGACCGAAAGTAAGAAATCAAGACAGATCACGGTGGGAAAATCGTTAATCCCTTTACAGATCAGGGTGATTAAATCCGTTCACCCTGGGAGACGAGGGTGGAAAAAATATTGATGACGGTGGACAAAAAATTGTCCCGACATATCAGGATGGAAATATCATTCATAAAATGTGATTTGTCGACGAATTGTGTTATCCGGAGTTAACTCGAAAAAAAAAAGAACAAAAAAAAGCCGTCACGTGGCGAAAGGTTAAAAATAGATTGCCATGCAAAACGGACGAGAGTGGAAGACAGAAATAGTCTGTCTGCATATAATAGGACAGAACTAGCCACGTTAGCATGCATGCATATGAGCAACTGCACGGTCCAGGTGCAGATCATAGACATCGAAATCCTTTGAACGTCCAGCTGCAGATCATGCACCCCGCTATATACACACCCAGGTACATACCGGCCGGGCTAATTTTCGCATTTTGTGTACCTGGACACAAAGCAGTGGAGAACAGAAAGAGAGAAGAACCAACGGTAGTTACTCCTCTCCCCGCGCATCAAACATATATCATCGCAAAAAAATAAAAATAAAAAAAATCGTTGTCAAACACTACGAGAAAAACGAATCCAAACACAAACAGAATCTATATCTATTTCGGGAAGCAGCATCCAGTGCAATACCAATCACCCCCTCCCTAATCAATCAACCAATCAACCAATCAATGAATCAGAGTCGGACTCTTCGTCATGATCAACAGATATGTGCGACCACAGCAGATGCTAATGCAAAATCAATCACACACTCACCTAATCAATCAATCAATCAATCAATCAATCAATCAATCAATCAACCAATCAATCAATCAATCAGAGGCTTCAATTCTTCGTCCTGATGACTCACCATGTGCGAGGTCGCAGATGCTAGTGTGATATCAGTGTCACACTCCCTAAATCAATCACGCAATCAATCAATCAACCAATCCATATAATCAATCAATCAGAGTCCGATTCTTCGTCATGATGAGCCACCATTTGCGAGAGCGTCTCCTGCGCAAGATGCTGCATCATCTTGTGGTACTCGAGTGCTTCTTCAAGTTCATGGCGGTTCATTACTCCTAACGCCAATTTGGCAGACTCCCTCTCTTTCTGCTTCCCTTCTACCAACGCCTTAAAGAGGCCCTGATTACGAACGGTAGCCCCAACTTGGTGAAGTCTCTTAACTTGTTGCCGATTGAGTACAGCATTGGTCTTCAGGAATTCTGCTCCCCTATCGAGGGCAAGCTGGGACTTGGATTTTCTCATCTTTCGATTGTCCTCCTCTCCTCCTCCTCCCCCGCCTCTGCTAATACTCCCTCTGCAGCTGCTGATCCTTCTTACTCCAATCTGCTCCCCACCATCTACCACGCCGTGCATGTTCCCCCTCCAGCTGCTTACTCTCCTCACCCCTACCTCCTCCTCTGCCAATCCCATTGCTCTATTTACACTCCCCTTGCAGCTGCTCACCCTCCTCAACTCCCTCTCCCTATCTTCTTCATCCTCCCCGCCCCCTCCCACCATGACCTGTCTCCGCCTGCTGACGTGTTCTTCATCATAGATATTCTTCGCGAGGGAGAAGCTACGGACCAAGCTTCTCCTCTGCTTCTCCACTTCTCTCCCTGCAGCCATAGCCGCAGCCGCGGACGCTCTCTCTACCCCCTTCCTCCTCTCGATCTCCAGCCGTTGGTAAGCAATCACAGCTTTTACGAATTCTTGATAGGCCCGAGGGCACTCTGGGTAGTCGAACACCTCCTCAATGGTCGTCTGCCCGTCATCTGGCAGCTGTGCATCTCCAACCTCCCCCTCGCCGCCATCGCTGGAGGAAGAAAAGTACCCACCGCTGAAGGTACTGTCATCCTCTCCCATCAACTCTCCCTCTCCGAGCTCGGCGCCCTCTGCCGCGGACAATCCCTCTGTCGGCAAGTTCGATGAAGCAGAAGACGAGGACGACGCAGCAGCAGATGTAGCAGCCATCGGGATCCCTCCGTCCTGCTCGTGCCTCATTCGTTCTGGATGGAATTGAAGCCCCACGATGAATCGCCCCTCGTCCGGATGATACGTGTCGGGATCGTAGAAGCCCTCAATGAGCCCATCTGGCGCGTAAGCCATGGGACGAAGACGGGAACCAAGACGCCGAACACCTTGGTGATGGTAGCTATTGACAACAAGGTCTCCCCATTCCTCCTCCTTCTCCTCTTCTTTATGCTCATCTTCTCTCTCCCCCAGCTTCTCCCCTTCTCCCGCGGTTTTCCGCGCAGCGGCCGCCTTCTCTATCGATGGCTTGAACCACTCATAGAGCGGGGTTCCTGGTATAACTTTGACGGGATGACGATGACCATCGTAATTGTCGTAGTCTATATGACTCACAAAACTCCATCCACCCAACTTTCTCTGGATATCGTTTTGCGCAGCCATTGAAACTGGGGATACCGACGAGTTATAGCCGTCGCCATCGCTGTCGCCGTCAACAGAGGAAGAAGGCGATGGAGCAGAGAGCGCAGTACGCGTCGATCGTCGTTCTTGCTGTTGATTAATACCACTTCCACCTCCATTGACTTCATCAGAAAGCTCTCCAACTTGATTCTGCACATCTTCGTCAGAAAGCTCAGAAGCTTGTTTCTGCTGCTGCTGCTGCTGCTCCTTGTGATTAATTCCATCTTCACCCGGGACCTGCTGCTGCTGCTGCTGCTGCTGCTGCTGCTGCTGTTGATGATGCTGATGGTGTTGCCTTTTCTTCTGGGCTCGACTGATCTCCCGCTCAACGTCTTGATACAACGAACCTCCGCATGCAACATTGAGAATCTGACTCCCACGGCATATTCCTAAATAAGGAATACTGCGCTCCAGACATCGACGGGCTAAGGCAAATTCGATCGAATCCTTGTCTTTATCAATTGCCACGTCACTACTGTGCGCGAGCTTGATTTCCTCAATCTCCTCGGGGCTGAGACTAGAGTAGTCGACATCATACAACGCAGGATCAATATCCTCCCCCTCACACAGTAGAACTCCATGTATGGGCTCAAAGCTGTCCAACAAGCCATCTAGCCCGGTCACTCGAGGTACGATAATCGGCACGGCTCCGTAACGAACAATCAGATCCAAATGATATTCACCTGCAGATTTCGGTTGACGATTCAAACAAATGCAATACCCAGTGAGACGACGGCTTTGCCACGCATCGTCACACGCTACGCTACTCGACCAGCAGTGTCAATCAAACTGCCCAACAACAAGCTTCTTTTTTCTCCCTCTTTTTCCTTTTTCTTTTTTCTTTTTTTTTTTTTTTTTTCCTCCCGAGCGTTTCTCGATTTACGCGTTTCATCATTGGAAAGCGCAGAGACTATGCTATATATTAATTTTTCTTATATCTGTATATATTAATCTCTCTTATAACTGTATATATTAATCTTTCTTATATCTGTATATATTAATCTTTCTTATATCTGTATATATTAATCTTTCTTATATTTGTAATATCGTCCCAATTTTAACGGCCATAATGTCGACAAGGACCCAATTAATTTTTCTTATATCTGTATATATTAAGTATACCAATCTATACTCAAAAAGGCACCTTGCGAATATGTTGAAAATGCGCTTGTACATGAAAAATGTGCTTCCAATTGGTTAAAAAACCTCCATTTTAACGGCCATAATGTCGACAAGGACCCAACAACATTCCGAACCAAAAAACAAAAAACAAAAAAAAAAAAAAAAAAACAAGCTTTCGAACACGCACGTAAGCAGAATTTCTGATTTGTTTTTTGTTTCTTCCGCTCAAACCGCGCCGTACTACAACCTCGGCTTGGCGCGCGCATGTTTCCCACATCAGGCAGCACAAACCACTCGCCTCGAGAGTCGAAAGCAGATTTCCTGAATTTGTCCTGCCTAAAAAAAAAGATGAGGCCAGAGTGCAACGGTTCGGATTTCGAAGTCCGAACCGCTGCACTCTGGCCGCATCAGGCAGGACAAACCACTCGCCTCGAGAGTCGAGACTACCGATTTCACCCGAATAGAATGCCCGGTCGTTATATCTGTATTTGGGGCGTCTTTCAACCTAGCTGGATACAGCGATATTAATGGAAAATGTATCTTCCGCTAGAACGTGGAAGAATACGCCAGCCATAGATTCTCTTTTTCACATCTGGTGAGCTTTGCTCCGAAGGCCCAAATAACATATTCATCAACAAATTATCCAAGATCCACTCCAAATCAAGTCGGAAAACAAAAAACAGAAAAAAAAACAAAAAACAAAAAACAAAAAACAGTATTTGACGAAGTAAATCATTCATTCAAATACAGAACAAGGCAGTAGACGTCCCACGTGAGTACCATCCTGATCCATCCCACCATCCCTCCATCCACCAACAAGAAAGCCGATCAGATAGATACCAATCAACAGTCTGATAGATACCAATCAAGAATACCAATCAAGAGTCCGGATAGAGAGCAAACAAGCGTCCGATAAACACCAATTCAAGAGTCAAGATAGATACCAATCAAGAGTCTTACACAATGTTAACTGGCAACGGATTTTCAGGAACCAAACAAAAAAATCGAAAAAAAAAAAACAAAAAAGAGTGACAAGAAATGACTACCATCCTCTAATACAGACCAGACGAAAGTACAATGGCGCAATCAAAGAGACAGGAAAGAAAATGGAAGAGAACAAATGAAAAAACAAGCCAAATTCTTCGGGACATTCGTTAAAATTGGAACGATACAGTGAAGGGTAATTAGCATGGCCCCTGCGCAAGGATAACACGCATGAATCGAGAAAAAGTCCGTATTATATTATATTATATATATATTAAAAAAAAAGGAACTAAAAGGAAGAGGAACAAAAAAGAATAAGGGGAAGAAAAAAAAGAGAAAAGCAAACGCTGGGATAGAGACGTAACGAGACGAAGGAGGGGGGAGATCGGAATGGACGGGAAAGATACAGCGACGAGTGAATGGTATTAATCACTGCCCTGCCCGGATTACATCGTCTACCGACTGGAATAGAACAAGAAACAGAAATCAAATCGAGAACAAATCGAAATCACGAAAATCAATCGGAAATTTGGACTCGGGAAAATGAATCGGGGAAATAAAAAAGCAATCGAAGAAATGACTCAAATGGAATGGAATGAATCGAAAATAAATAAAAAACAACTCGGCAATGTTCTGCCAACATGTGAGCTGTTTTTTTAACCAACATCAATGAGAGAGGAAATTCACTCACATTGACCGATCGAAGCCGAAGGTCAAGCGTTTGACGTCAACAACGTAGTCCATCTAACACTGTCTACTATGCGGTATACAGGCACAGAGAGAGAGAGAGAGAGAGAGAGAGAGAGAGAGAGAGAAGGTCAAGCGTTTGACGTCAACAACGCAGTCCATCTAACACTGTCTACTATGCGGCATACAGGTACACAGAGAGAGAGAGAGAGAGAGCACTTGAAAATAGGGCTCAATGTGTGAGGCTTCGCTTTCACAGTGAACACACAGTCCATGGTATGCAGCAGGCATTACCGCGATGACCCGTCTGCCTCTTGCGCATGTGATCATCACATTCATTATCATCAGCCATCTGCTTTCAAGAACCTAGATTAGATGTGCGACTGGGCACACCGCAATAAATACGACGATCCTAAAGAAAGATTCAGCGTAATGAAAAACGCACTTCTTGTTACTGAGGCATTCTCCCTACGAGCCGACGCGCTTTTCCCCGCGCAAATTTCGTTGACGCCAACAGATTCAGTCGACAATATGGTGAAACGATCTGGTCAGCAGCAGTGGATATATAGCCGCACAATTAACCCGGATTTAGCCTGGTTAGCAGAAAAATCCACATTGAATAGGGATTCAACCACCGCATAATTCAAACCTGCCAGTGGATTTAGCCGCCGGCACACAATCCACCCGCATTCGAGTCCCGCAACACAATCTACCCGTGTCTAACCCCGGTCACATACTAGTCCAACCGGGTCAATATGAACTGGCAAAACCCATCCAAAGTGCTGATTGGGTATAAAATTAAGTCCAGCCGGGTCGATATGAATTGGCAAAACCCATCCCAAGTGCTGATTGGATATAAAATTATCTAGATTTTTTTCAAATTGAATGGTCTGTGAGAGACTACCAGAGTCCCTTTTGTGTTAAGAGATCGATGGAGCTGGGCGGTGAGTGGTTAAGAGATTATTCAACTCCAAGTCGAACAACAGTGATTAGACCATGTCATTCTTCCAAACGCAATTCAAACTCGAATGTTAAGGAACGATGAAAGCGTAGCGGAATGGAACTTACCGACGAAATCGACGAATTTATTCTTGCGCACAGTGCGGCGAGAGACGATTAGCACCCTTGGCAGACACTGACTGAGCTGTAGCACCTCCGGATGCGGATGCTCAGAGCGAGCGCGAGCGGAGTCGTCGTCATCATGCTCCACTCCGTTTCCCAGCCCGCCACCTCGTCGGCCGAAACCGCCTACCATTGCTGCCAGTCTCTTTATACGCGTCTAGATTGATACAGCTGCACCTCCTGCGTCAATTACCAGAGTACTAACCTGCAACGACTCTGCGATCCGCTGCTGCGCACTCTCAATCTCAACCTAAATCAAGTCCAAATCACTTCAAATCCACGTCAAATCCACATGAAATCCAACGCCAAATCCACGCTAGTTTCGACGCAACGTAAGCCACATCATATCCACCTCAAATCCACATCACATATCGTCAGCTCACGTCAAGAGAACGTCAGATCAACGTAAGACACCTTCCTTCAATTCCACGTCAGATCCACCTTAAATCCACGTCAGCTCCGAATCAATCCACATCAAGTATCGGCAGATGACGTGAAACGAACGACGTCAGATCCACGTCAAATCACGTCAGGTCCACACGTCATATAGTCGCCAATTACACAATGGAAATCAGCTCCGAGCCAGATCTGCTTCACGGCAGATAACTAGCAGCCATCACACGGACTGAGAAAGCTAGAGAAAAGACAAGTGCAAGAATTGCTGCACAACGCGCGCGCTACGGATCCTCCTCTTTTCTCCGACTTCCTACTATCGACACTGTCAACAAAAGCTTCTTCAATGGTGCACCGATCGACTCAGACATCAAAAGCCATGCCAAGTTGTGCGGAAGCGCCGAGCTGGCAAAGCGGCTGTTACGCTTGCACGCGGACGGGCAGGTAACTGCGAGTTTGGAAGAAGAGAGAGAGAGAGAGAGAGAGAGAGAGATAGAGAGAGAGAGTGCGACGTCTCCTGAAAGAGACACAACACACGATGCGCGTAACTGCACTATTCAATCTGCCATAGCCGGGAAGAGAACGATGCCCAGCCTTCTCCACACTACCGGGGGTGCGCCATTGCTATATCGGCCAGACAACCGCGGATGCTTATAAATGAATTTGCGACGCGGGAAAAAAGGTGAAAACTGAAACCGACATTGCGAGACTCGAGCGCGGCAACGACTTTTTTCTTTTCTGAAGGCGCAAAAAAACAAATTGCGCGCTGAATTTAAAATTAAAAAAAAAACAGAAAGCGAAAAAGCGCGCGATCCGTAAAAATTCGAACGATACGGAGAAGATGAGCATCGCCCTTGCGCAAGGATGACACGCATAAATCGCGCGCGCTGGGCGCTGGGCGCTGGGCGCTGCGCGTTGGCCTGCCCGCTGAGCACTCACAAGCCCGCCGGTGTTCCTATCCCTGAACTTGGTCGTCGGAAAGGACTGTCGCGCTGACTCCAGACGAACCCGCCCGCGCCGCTGACTGCCGGCGGCGGACCACCAGGGTGGACTGGCGTTCAGTCTGAACAGTACCGCCGTACTCCTGTCAAACGGATTTTGCTCACTTTTTGTTTTTTCTTTCTTTTTCGAAGAACCAATCACACGTCGAAGGGGCCGGGGGGACGTGAAGGGGGTGCTGTTACCGGCCGAATAGCGGTAGCGCTCCGGGCCAAGGTCCCACTTGCAAGGATTACGAGATTTCGGCCGTTGATCTCGCTATCTACTGTCTCGAAGGGGCCGGGGGGACGTGAAGGGGGTGCTGGTACCAGCCGAATAGCGGTAGTGCTCCGGGGCAACGGATTACGAGATTTCGGCCGTTGATCTCGCTATCTATGGTCTCTATCTCTTAATTCGTGCAAGTGGGAACTCGCCCGCGCCGCTACGCGTTCACTACGCGTAGTGAAAAGCGCTGTTCACCGACGGACCTCGCCGCCAAGACGAGGGGCGAGGTCCCACTAGCAAAGAGGATTGGATAAATACCCTGAATCTGGACGTGTTTTAGGCAGAGATGCAGAAAAGCAGTTCAATCTCGATCGTCTGCACCTTTCCACAAACAAGTCCAGATTCAAATGTTCAATCCAATCCTCTTTGCTAGTAGGGCCTAGCCCGCGGAGTGGGACAGCGGACATGCCGCCCCTCTCTTGTACGGCGGCAACGCCTTGATGCATTGTCTGCTTCGACTAGTCCATAGCTAGTTAGGATCGGTTATTTCCATCGCCACAAGGCAGTGGCGAGGTGAAGGTTTGAGACGCGCTCTTGAATGTTAAGAAAGTTGTCCTAAGAGAAAACCAAGGTCCGCCTAAATACCCGGGCTCTTAGTCCCCACGGTAACTCTTCTCACTAGCCATCCCCACGGTGGAATTACCACGGTAAATCCGTAGTCACTGGTAGGTGACAAGGCACACCCCTCGGCATGGGTAACAACCGTTACAGTGCACCGACTTCAAGTTGTCCTACCGTGCAGAATCGGAGTGTAGATGAATCTCTCGATACCTAAAGCGAGGAGAATGAACGCAACTTAGGGTTAAAGAGAAGGAAAGATAAGTGTGAAGGTGAGAAGGAGGAAGGACGAAGGTTGCTCTACCCCACAGTTTACGGTTGGTCAGGAAAGTGAAACTTTCACCATTCCAAAGATCAGTTAGTCACGCCACTATATCGCATCAGTAGGCGTCGTTAGCAGATCCCCTTGACGACTGTTTACTTGAAGAACAGGCAGAAGCACCCAAAGAGGGGAACAACAGAAAAAAATTCCAAAATTAAATCATCATTTTATAGTAAAATTACATTTTAAATTTCAGATTTTCATTCAATCTTAAAAAATGTCATTCCAATTTTAAAATTTTCCGTTTTACTTAAAAAATTTCTTCCAAGAATGGGGTATCCCTTCTTATTTAAATTGCATGCTACTAGAGATGGAATGAGAGTCTGGATGAGTTCATGAAATATTTTAATTGAACTGTTATTCTAAGTAAGGATTTTCAGTCATAAATAGTATAATTCAATATAAATTAGAAGATATTTGTTGTAGTAGAATGAAAGTTTAATTAAAACATTTCATAAACTCGTCCAGACTTTTATTCCATCGTGAACAAATAGATGTAGTTGGAAGGAAAAACTTGTACTTAGACGGGAACTTATCAAATAAAACTGTAAATTTAAAAATTGGACAAATATTTAAGTTATAATTTATAAATATGAAGGATTTTTTTTTTATGGAATGTTTTTTCAACTTTAATTTCTCGTGGGAATTTGTTTGTTGAAGGTGAAGTTTTCAGTTTTCAAGTTTTGAAGTTTTCATTTAACTATACCGAGTTGAATCGGATGGCCGCCGTAAGTTAGCCTACCTGTCAGGATGAGAATCATGGCCGGAGCACAAGACAGGGATGAAAGAAGAGGGAAGGAGAAGATGAGAAAGAGAAAAGGGTAAATGCGATTGTAAATCAATAGCCTCTTGCTTATGCCGAAAGCAGAGCTTCCCTGGTTCAAAAGATCACTAAGTAACATGTTTACTACATTCCACATTACTAAGCCCCGTAAGTCTAAATTCTTCAGATGACTGCTGTGTGTGTGTGTGTGTGTGTGTATGTGCGTGTGTGTGTGTGTGTGTGTGAGAGAGAGAGAGAGAGAGAGGGAGGAGAGCAGGTAAGTCCCCAACCGCGTGGCTGGCCTCACGCTACTTCCATCGGTTGGATGAGCAAAATGAAATAAATCTTCCGCTAGACATGGAAATATACACTGTCGTGTGTGTGTGTGCATGCGTGTGTGTGTGTGTGTGTGTGTGTGTGTGTGTGTGTGTGTGTGTG